GTTTGGAGGACCAAGATGATGATGATCGACGTGGACCCGAAGATCAAGAAGAAGAAGGGTGCTGAGTACTTTGAGCGACCCGAAGACCTCGACATGGAGTGGGTCAAACAGCACCAGGAGGCAGAGATCGAAGAGATGCGACAAAAGATCACCAAGAAGTTCGAGAAAGAGAACGAGAAGCTCAAGGCCGACGGCGAGAAGGAGATGAAGCCTAAGGAGCTCGAGGAGCGTATGGAGAAGGTCAATGAGCTGGCCGCCAAATACAAGAAGGAAAACAAGACTGGCAAGGTCGAAGCTGAGGGCAAGGGTCCAACAGTCGACAAGCTTGAGGGTAACATCGACAAGCTCAACCAGCGCATTGAGAACATGAAGATACAGATGGAGGACAAGGAGGGCAACAAGGAGGTTGCCCTTGGCACGTCCAAGATCGTAAGTCACTCCCCGTCCATCTTGCATGATCTCTGACTAACCGCAACTAGAACTACATCGACCCTCGTCTCACGGTGGTCTTCTCCAAGAAGTTCGACGTACCCATCGAGAAGTTCTTCTCCAAGACACTCCGCGAGAAGTTCGACTGGGCCATCAAGTCAGTCGACGAGACCTGGGAGTTTTAGAGCGAAGCATGCATGCAAGGCGGGGTTTCCTTGTCTTCGGACATCTTCTTAGATTTGCATCGGGTGCACACAGCATCATAGGGTGAGACTGACTGGGCGACATGCGGCGAAGAAAAGCACGATGGCATTTAGTACTATTTCCGTATGAAAGGGCATGGGTGATACGGTTCGGCGAGCATGCGATATGACGTTGCGATCTCATTTTACTTCAGGGAGTCCACTGCATAGCTTTAAGATATTCATAGTAGCTCTGCGATCTAGCCTGTCATCTACAGCGATATATCAAATAGAGACTCAGCTGAAAAGGATTACTGATGCATATGCAAGTGCGGGACGATCACCATCCTTAGTGACGTTCTATGCATGAACTGCTGTTCGACTCCGAAGTTGTGCATGCATGCCTGTCTTGAACTGCACCGTCACACAACCTGCTCTGGATGCAAACTGCATGTCGGCCGGGTCGCACAATCACGATGGGTGGCATAGAGCGGTGTAAGAAAGTGCGTCGCAGCCAATGATACGGCCTGGGTACCTGCGTTACATTTATTGATAGGAGGTACAGATCGAAGAGATCTCTAGATTCGCACGCCGTGTGCTATGGTACCCGGCGCCGACAGGCCTCGGAGCCCGGAGCTGCATGACACAACGCCGGTACGAACTGTGTATGTTGGAGGCGCCGTCCCTTGGCTTGACAATAAATGTTAAGTCGCCGACGAGGGCGTTGGGCTGATGAGTAGTCCCCATTCCGCGGAATCACAGCAACATCTGACAGCATTCGTGCTGTCTAACTCGGCCGCTACGAGGTCTTACTTGACTCAATGACCATAATATTGAATACATATCGGCAATGCTACGAGCCGAATTTCTTGTCACATTGCCTAGCCCGGTGAAGTTATCTGAACTTGTTACGAAGCGAGGGTTTTATGCAGGCTAGACGTTAAGCTAGAAGGACAACCCCAGCATCGTGTCTGTAAAGGGGAAGGCGATTTAGCGACAGACCTCGCGGCTCCGCACTTGTTTGCTTTTTATTCGGTAATCGCTCGTTGAAGGATGGCGAATGTGGCTTACACATTGTACACAACGTCGGAGAACGCCCAAGGATGGATGGCTACGTCAGCCAGGGATTACCTGATAGCTCTGTTGGTGTGAACTCAGGGGGAGTTCACCCCCACTGTCGGGCTGTCATGCGCCCAAAGTATTGAAGCTCGAGACAAGGTCCAGCACTGCGGGAGCGCGCCGTCGTTCACCGCCCGCTTCTTGTACATCTCCCGCGACAACCGCTATGTATCCAGGAGATAGGAACAGCAAACGTCATGCTGTGAATATGAGGGGATACGGTGGAGCGGATCGCATTGTGTGCTCGTGCCCAAGTTGCATAATGTGGCGGGTGGCGGCGGGCGCCTTCAATACAATTGTCGCGGGCTCGCTACATACGAAGCCCACATAATCTCGGTCGACTTGCTTGCGGAGCGGACCACTATGGTGTGCATTGGATCAGCCACAAGTGCCCGACCATGACTGCTACTGGCGGCCATAGTTGGTTTTTGAGCCTCAGTGATGGGCGTGGCCTCTTGAGAAGAGAATTATCGCCGGGCTTGGGTGTGCACATTTAAATATCGGCCTGACTGCCCCCCTCCTGCAGGTCAATGAGTCGCGCATATTGGGCCTGAGTTATATGACATCGTTGTGGTGCCGCGGTATCCTACTTGGAGTATCTCTCTTCGTGGTTAGTCCCTCTCGTTCCAGCTTGACGCCCGCGATCACGAACGCCGCGTGTTATCTTTCTTCCAACGTGAGCAAGACAGACGATCGCAGCAAGACGCTTCGCCTATAGCAGCCGTGATATTGTCCCTCGCCAGTTGGTTCCTCGCAAAGACGGTCTGAGCGCGATCCGCACCGCTCAAATCTCCACCCCCGACTTTGGCCTTAGCAGACACCATCCGCCCACTGCGCCCTTCAGAGTCCCCTAGCGATCTCTTCTTGCGCGCACAGGAGACGCAGATCACGAACATACGCGACCCCAGAAATGGCTTCAGAAAAGCCTTCGGTGCTGATAATAGGAGGGCTGGGTAAGGCTCGCGCTGGGCACAACCCAAGTATGCCACGAGGGCTGACCATGTGCATTAGGCTACACCGGGCGACACCTCACCAAGTACATCCACGACAACAACCTCGCCTCGCAGATTCGCATCGTCGACAAACATCTCCCGGAGCTGGCATGGCTTGCACCTGAATTCAAGGAGGCGTGCTCAAGAGAGCGATTCATACAGGCGGATGCGGCGCAGGAGAGTGCGTACCCCTGACCGTGTCTCTGGGTCTAAGGGATGTCTACAACAAGACGTTCGAGGCTAATTCAAACCTACAGAATCCCTCCCGCGAATATTCGACCGTGAAGGCGGCGCCGAATTCGACTATGTCTTCAACTGCGGCGGCGAGACCCGCTTCGCCCAAGACGAGAAGGTCTACGAGCTCCGCTCCTACGGCCTGTCCATGGCCATTGGTCGCGAAGCCGCGAAACGCAAGGTCAAATGCTTCCTCGAAGTCAGCACCGGCATGGTCTACAAGCCCGACAGCGCACCCAGCAAAGAGTCAGACAAGCCGAAACCCTGGTCGAATCTCGCGAAATGGAAACTCAAGGCTGAGGAGGACCTGGCCAAGATCGAAGGCTTGAACCTGATAGTGATGAGGATGGCACACGTCTACGGGCCGTACACGAGCAAATACCTGAGCACGGCGCTTTGCATGGCGAGGGTATACCAGAGCAAAGGAAAGGAGATGCGCTTCCTGTGGAAAGAAGACCTGAAGACGAACCTGGTGCACATTGAGGATTCTACGAGAGCGCTGTGGCATGGTGTCGAGTGGTACATGAAGGGGCCCCCAGGACGCAGACCGGCACCCACCTTTAACATTGTGGATCATGCGAATCACTGTAAGGCCTCTCCACAACACGTCATCCTATCTACTGCAGTACTGACATGACATTTAGCCCAAAAAGACACTGCCCAGCTCATGGGTAAGATCTTCAACATCGAAACCGGCTTCCACGGCACACTCATTTCAGCCTTTGCACGATTGAATCTCGACCATGTCGTCGACGAAGTCAACGACGAGACGCTAGACCCCTGGGCAGAACTGCAACAAAAAGCCGGCATCAGCCAATCGACACCGCTGACACCGTACATGGAGAAGGAGCTGCTGAAAGATGCGGATCTGAGCATGGACGGGAGTCTGTTCGAGAAGGAGACGGGCTTCAAGTAAGTCACTTTTACACACCAAAAGCGCATGCAGGCGGCAATAGACTAACACATCATCAGATACAACGTAGAGAAGATCACCAAAGAAAAGGTCGAAGAGGTCATTGAGAGCTACAAGAGGATGAACTGGTGGCCATAGCCTTCGCCGCTCGACTCGCCCACTTCTTTTCCATCGATACCCTCCTTCTTGTCACGACCTTCCTCACGACGAACCCCCTTTTCCCGTATACCCAACCACCAAAAACCACCACCTTTACATCTTCCAAAAACGACGACCGATTGTTCAGTTCAGCATAGCATAGCAGCGAACGCATGCATTACCTGGAGCTCTGGGCTCCCTTTGACCCGATTCGACAATTTCACCCCTTATGGTCTTCTTATGTCTTGCGGGCATTTGTATCTGGCAGTCGCTTTTCCCTTGTGTGTGTGTCAACCTTCTTCCTGTATGTTTGGGGCATGTATCTGGTTTGCGCACGGTACTGTATGGTGTTGATCTTTGCTGCTGCTGTCGGAGCATGCGAGTCTTGGTGTTACATACCCCTCAATCTAGCATTTGTTCTTATACACCGCGACTTGTCGTAAGATGACTCATTGTGCTCGATCATCACTCGATTGCGTTGGAACTTGCATAAGGTATGTGGTATTTTGAGTGTGTGTGTCGCTTGATATTAAGCAACACTCTGTACAGGTAGAGGACGCGGGGGTTTGCAACCTTGACGCCCCTACTCTAGATACATACGGGCCTAGAGAATTGTAAGCTTTATACTCTACATATATAGGCCTTAAGAATCGTGAGCTATATACCCTATATATAAGGGGACCTTGAGAATTGTAAGGTTCTTTTCGGAGCAAAGTGTAACACCTGGCAGGCACCTCGTACGAACACATCCAGTTTTCGCTGACAGCTCACTGGATCAGGTACCCTTCTCTGCTTCGTAGTGTATTAGACGATATACAATCAATAACTCCAGCTTAACCTTGCTCTCTTTCACTGCGACATGCTTCTCCAAGAAACACAACTAGACTTTATATAGAGATTGATGGCCCCGCGGATCTCCTTCGACCATGTCCAGTGCCAACAAGAGGTCTAACCCCGCCAAGGGCTCGAACGCCCGGTTGACTAACTCGCCAGCTACTCGGGCCCCGAATGATCTTCGGTGATGACCTCAAGCTTGATACCCTTCTGGATCCCGAGGTACTCCACCCAAGTGGTGCTCCCTCCCACCACAGCATCACGCTCTAACATGAACGTCAAAGTAACCCCCTGCAACGCAATCTTCTTCAAGTTTGGAAAAGTCCTCATACACGCCGTCCAGGGAAATTCCCACTGTCTTCCGTTCCAGAAGTAAATCCATGACTTGTAGAGAACAACGCTCTGGATAGTTTCCAACTGTTCGCGCGAGAGCGCGCACTTCCCGGCCCAGTAGCGGTCGAGGAAGGTGTCGTAGGGAAACTTAAAATTGTTTCCGGAGTAGAATACCAGACGCGATTCAATGTAGATTTGTCGACAAGTCGTTAGTAAAGCGAGGGCGTGGGGGGCTAGTCCGCGGTCGAACTTGACACGTCCCTTGTAGACGGTGACCTCCTTGTTGCTAATGAGGGTAAACTTATAAACATTTTCGCGAATCTCTGCAGGCAGAGCGAGAAGACGTGTACGCGTGTTGGATTGCGTGCTGTGTTTGGTTAGTTGAATCTTGCTACATCGATCGCTCTATTCCCTACCGAGGGCGCAGATATTCGGGAGTATTCCCTGGATTCGGTAGGGCATCATCGGGACGGGAGCTCAACTTCGGATTCATGATGGCGTTAGTTGAGAGTCTGAGAAGGTGCGAAGGGTTCGTTGCGATAAGCACGCGACTGGTCAGACCACGACCAGAGCAGACAGTCGAGGGCCATACGCATCTGGGAATGGAAAGTCTCATTCACTGTGCTATTCGATTACTATAAGAGTAAGGACTTCTCGTGGCGATGCTCTCTTCGTGCATTCTCGAAATTGGTAGAGACAACGTCAGTGAATGTATCATCTTGTTTGGCAGACTATGCGAGCTTGATGATTATTGTCATGTGGCACTTTGAATGAATAGTTCGATTACATATGCGCACTGGATAATTGTCAAAACGATATCGATAACATCTTTGACTCTAGTACGAGCTCTCCCACCATACCAAAGCTTCCTGGATTCGAATGCTTTCACAACCCTCCAACCGATGTTGATAAATCCAAGCTCAGGCTAGTACGGCGAGCAGCATCTTGCTAGACGCGTTCTGCTGAATCTGAATCAGGAGCTAGCTATTGTTCATCGATCTCGATAGGATCAACAACCTCGACGACCTCAAGGACACCACGCTCCCGCATCGTCACATAATCCTTCCAATCATTGAAGCCAGCATGTTGCGCCAACAACTTGACGAAATGGACGTCGGAACCAGTTTCAGCGACGTCAACTTCAATCCAAATTCGCCGCAAGTTCGGGAAGAGGAGCGTGAACGGCATAGCTAACGGTGGTGGGGAACGAGAACGGGTGGATTTCCAGTCGAACGGGCAACTACATCCTCGTGCGTACCGTGAGCAGTCCCCAAACCCCGTCCCGTTGACCGAGTCAAAAAGGAAGGGGTTGTTAACTTGGATAGTTTGTATGGCTTCTAGCTGGGCTTGGTTGCGGTTTCCTGCAAAGGCATCGCGGTGGGAACGGCAGCTCACGACGAACGTGTTGAGTGCGTAAGGTAAGAGAGCGGTCTCTGTATAGATCTGGCGGCATACGTATGGCAGCACAAACGCGAGCTTTCGGAGTTCTCCAGGCTTGTAGTCATCACCACTATTCTGCCAAATATCGAGTCCGGGGACGTTCATTGATATCTGGAAGCCGCCTAGAACTTCCTGAAAGATCATGTTACGAATCTCCGCAGGCAACGAAAGGAGATTCGTCGACGCGTTGTGTTGAGACCTAGTACATTAGCGTCTGACGTGACCTTGGAGATAGTACTTACTTGGAGAGCAAATGCTCTGGGGTGGGATCCATCTGCACCAGTCCATTCTTCTGGTAAGTAACTGCTGGCGAAGGGCCTCGATAATAAGGGGCAGAGTGTCGAGGATTTGCCATAACTTGAGCCAGCTTGCGCTGACGTTCCAACGCCTTCCAGGCGCCGAGACAATTTGGCATGGCTACTAGATCTGACGGTTACACGTATGATTAGAAGAACAGTGGTCGGTTTGTCAGGTCGTGTAGAGCCGATGATGGAGACTGGTTAACGGCTACAGTGATAGTATAGAACTGTGGTTCCTTCGAGACCGCTTATTTTATAATTGGGCAGATTATCAGAGTAGAGTCACTTTAAGTACTTGCAGGGGAATTGCTCGATATCTGGCTGCCTGGGGACCGCTTCGTTCGGTCACTCACGCCACTTTCATTGTCGGATACGCGCTACAGTCACATATATCACTGCCGTATAGTGAAATAGTTATAGTGATACAGCCGGAAAAAGATAGGCGGAAATACTGACCCTGTCTGATGGGTGGCAGTGATGGAAAATGGTTGATGTGGCAGGAAGCGCAGCAGAATGGACAGTCGGCTGGGGTGTCAGTGGCCGCCCAATCATCATCTGTGTGATGTTGGAAGCGCTGCGCCCGAACCTTCCTGCCCTGCGACATCACTACACCGACATCCAAGCAAGTAGGTTATCTATAATCTTTAGCGGCATATAAGCAAGACTTGCTGCAGTTCTATCAGATATGTGACCTATATCGCTCTGCAGGCTGCGGGTGGAAGGCAAACGCAGCACGTAGCTCGCTCAGCCTCTCAAGATGCAGCCTGACCTTTACGTGCTCAGAAAGGAGCAGTACTGCCTAATCTGAGGATAGGGATGAATGAATACGCTGCTGCGCCCTGTTGGTTTGATAGCTTCATATATCCATTACCGGTATGGAAGAAAGGCAGGCGGCAGTCTGTCTCCCCTACTTCCTCTCTCTCCACCAAAATGTCCCCTCTCCGCCGCACGAAGCGACCACCAGTCAAGATGGCTGCAAAGCCTATCTGCCATCTACTCCACATGCCGCTGGCGATACTTCTTCTTGTTCTAGAAGACGTACGTACCTGAGTAGCTCCTTCACGACGTCTCCCTCTTCTGATCACACCTGTCAGGTTTACGAGACTGATCGGGAAGCCTTCTTCAACTTTCGTCTCGTCTCTAAAGCATCCCGCAACGAGTCTCAATACTTGTTCTTCCGCAACTTTACTCTCCACGATCGCACCCTCCTTGGGCCGAGTCTGTCATCGCCAATGCTGGAGAGGCTCAGGGACAGAAATGGAAAAACTGGAGAATATGTCAGGCATCTGGAAATAGGTCCGTTCAAGGACGAAGACAAGTTCAAGCTCGAGATTTTGCCCTTGCTGGAGCGTATCCTGAGGAGCGTCAGTAACTTACAGGATCTTACCTGGCGTGTGAACTGCGAGCTTCCGCCAGCCCTGCTCAGCTTGTTCTCCGAATTGCATCCTTCGGCGCATTTGCACTGGATTCTGAAGAATCGCAGATTCCGTCCTCTGGATCACAGTCTGCTTTCGTCTCCCCAACTTTACACTCTTGATGCGGAAATCTACGCGACTATGCCCGAGCAGACTGGACACTCCCTGAGTGAACTTGCATATATCAAAAACACTGTACCAGCTAGTCTCCAAGTTCTGCGTCTCTCTACTATCGACGTTGATGGCTCTGTCCAGCGTGCGCAATTCGACACTTGGGGATACGTCAAGTGCGGCATGTTTTATTTCGACTTTGAGCCTGGCGATCAGTTCCCTGCGCTCTTGGAGTTGGCCCTGAGGCAGGGCGATTTTGCGTTGACAGAGCAAAGCTGCAACTTATGGGCGTGCGCAACGTCCTGGGAACGCCTGGAACGCTTAGATCTCCCCAACGGCACGTCGCCTCAATTCATCGCCTCCCTCACCAACCGCGCCATCAATCTCAAATACCTCAGATTTCACATCAGTACGATGAACTTCATGATCAGGAGACAATATCGCCCATACAGCGGTGGAAATTGGCTTAACGCCGGCGTTGGCACTATGTCTATCATGACAAGATTTCTAGCTTCGATCAAATCTCTCCACACCCTTGACTTCGCGTACGAAGACAGCGAGACCCTAATGAGTTATCTACGCTTCATGTTGCAGAGTCTTCATGGAAGTTTGAGGAGCTTGACCATATCTGACATGGGTGGTTACTATCACTTTCCCATGGACCCCTTACCATCCGGAAAGCCGTATTGGGATCCGGGGCAATACCGAGAGGTGCTTGAGCTGGCACCCGGCTTGGAGCATTTTGATGCGCGCATTGGTACGAGAGACAGTGTTGTGGGGGATTGGGAAGGCAAGGGTCGCTATGCAGATGTAGAGAAGAAGTGGAGGACCGCGAAAAAGACCATTACCGCTCCTCCAAGGGTGAAAATACAGCGGGCCAAGAGAGCGCTAAAGTTGATTGTGTAGACGGCGTCGACGCTTACATGCGTCTCTACGCAGATGCGAAAGTGGGCTCCACGCAGTATTTTGTGTATCGTCACTGGGCTGATGGTGGTGCCAAGTTCTTTTACCAACATCGAGGCGCATCCCAACTTCTCGGATCTGTATCGGAGGCATTTGCGGCTTTGGTCCAAGCCATTCGTTGTCGTCGACAGAACCTGCAGTGATGGCCGCGCGGGTTGAGGAAACGGAGAGGAATGTTGTTGGGTTGGGTGTCGTTACGAAATGGGAAGGTGGTGGGTTCGTAAACTTCGCGGGGTAATGAACCTGTTTCCTTTGTCAATTCGTCTAGTCCAATACCCAATGAAGCTCGTATAGCGTCTCTCGCTTCTGAATGCCTGGTGCCTGTTGAAATCTTCGGTACTATGGCGATGCTAAACGTGAGAAGGGGGTTTCCAGATGATCAATGGCCCCGCCTTGTCTGAGATCGGACTGAAATATGCAACAGAAAAGACACTTGTATTCAGGAGACAGAACGAAATCGATTTCGGCCTTTTCCCAGCCTGAGGTACTCTATATTGAACGAGCCTGACTATTGCACAGATTTATATAACATTGATTGACTTGACTGGTGGATGCTATAGGACGCTTATGCCTTCTGGACGATCCCTGTTGCTTGTTAGCTCATGCCGCACGTTTGAAATGCAATGCCACATACTCTCAATGTCAGTGACGCTCTGGTCAAGGATCTGCTTGAGGGTCTTGGGGTTCTCGAGCTCCTTCTCAATCTTGGCGATGATGGACTCGGCGAGCTCCTTCTGCTGCCTCTGCTTGACCTGGCCCTCGTAGCGGACCCACGAGTCGAGGACGGACTTGGCCTCGGCGGCGATGGCGGTCTTCTGCTCAAGCTCGAAAGCCTGGGCCTCGAGCTGGGCGGTCTCCTGTGGGGTTGTCAGTGTTCGGCCCTTGCATGTCCTCTGCCGTCGCGTCGCACCTTGGAAACCTCGAAGAGGGTCTTGGTGATGTCAATGACACCGCCGAGGTCCTGGACGCTCTCGATGCGCTGCTTGACAGCGGTGGTGTGGTCCTGGCGGGCAGCGTTCAAGATGCCGGAGATCTTGTCGGCCTGCTGTTGCGCATACTCTCCCCAGGCAGGTCCGGCGTACTTGGCAACGGCCCAGAAGATGGTCAGGAGCGAGAGGGCGACAATGGACTCCTCGTTGACGACGTAGAGCTCGTTGCTGATAGCGGCGACACTGAGACCGGCGCCGGCGGAGAGGACGGCGGCCTTGGTGAGGGGGCTGTTGCCGGGGACGGGTATCGAGTCGAGGACGGTCTGGGCCTTCTTCTTGGGGTCCTCCTGGGGCAGGTTGGAGTTGTAGCGGGCCTGGACGGCGATGGAGGGCAGGGCGCGGAGAGGGAGCGATGGGCGGAGACGGGCGGCGCCTATTGGGGTGAGCACGGGGTCAATGGCATCGCAGATTCATCGGGCGGGTGCTACTCACCGACCGCGCTCCTTGCAAGACGTGAGGCCATGGCTGTCTGATGGGCGTGGGGAGTTTGGGGTGCTGGTCGTCGTCGAGAGCTAGCTTTTCGTGATGCTGCGTGAACTCTGAGCCAAGCGCCGATGCCCATGCGCTAGCCGAACTTCGCCCGGCCCGCCCTCACTTTTCGACATCGCCAACTTTTTTGCGCCCGCGAGCAATTCAACTCCACGCCAAGAAATCAGTCGCAGGAAAACATGTCGGGTGCAAAGTCGGCCAGCACGTCTGGTGTCAAGAGGAAGAGGGACCCAAGCAAGCCAGAGCGCGGCGAATCCAAATCGAAGAGCCGGCGCAAATCCCCCAGCGACGACGTCGAAGACATCCAGTCGGAAATTGTACAGCTCGAAGCACAAATCCTCGAATCGCGAAAACACTACAACAACATTGCAACTCTTTTGCAGCGAGCGAGACAGCCAGACGCCGAGAATGAGGGACCAATCCTCGCCGCCGTGGCTCTCTGCCGAGTCTTTTCACGACTACTCGTGACAGGCGACATGGTG